TACTATTTCTTCGCCTTCAACTGTTCGTGCCTGATAATTAATTATATCGAGTCATTTCGAGATGAGATATGGGAGGAAAGATACTTTCCATCTCAACATCCGTATAAATAATCAAATAAATAATTCATGGGCAGTTTGTGCGTTACTAATTTGTTGACGACGTGATTAAGATTTGTAGGATGGAAACTGGTACAAATACACTGCGGGGTACAGGTTGGAGATTTAGATGGAAAAAAAAATAATAGTGATTTGTGTAGGATTGAGGATTTTAGAGGATATTTAATATTTTTGACATATGTAGGCAATGTTTAAATTTAAAAAAGTCAAGATGGAAAATCTAATGTGACGGACGTATTTTTCGAAAATCAACCGATTTGCATCAAACGTTGTATACGGGAGTTTTTGGGGTCGACTGATTTTCAAAAAATTCGTCCACCATCTTGAATTTTTCAATTTTCGTCGGATTCGTGATCAGCGACCCCAAAAACCCCCGTATACAACGTTTGGCGCAAATCGGTTGATTTTCGAAAAATTCGTCCGCCATATTAGATCCGCCATCTTGAATTTTGAACATCTGACCTCGGATTCGTGATCAGCGACCTCGAAAACCTCCATATACAAAATTTGGTGACAATCGGTTAACTTTCAAAATTTCGTCCGCCATCTTGATTTCGCCGCCATTTTGAAATTTTTGAAATGGTCAAAGTCATATCTGAACGTAAAATTTTCCGCTCTTTCCATTTCCGGGGTCAAAAAGGGGGGTTCCCATTTAAAAAAATCGTCTTGACCCCATAATGACCACGTGGTCAGTGGTCGGTGGTCATGGCATGGTAACCATTGAATAGCCAGGGAAAAATCCTAATTTTCCCTATATTTGTTTTTTCCGGAAAATGCATATCTCATCATCATTTTTTGTGGTTCCCATACTTTTATGCCATCCTGTATATTATAATTTTTTTTATTATTAAAGCTTGTAATTTTACGTTAGTTTAGGTATTAAACTAATTCAAAGTAATTTTTCCTGAGATGCTTGTTAAAACTGTTGTATATCTTCTTCTACTCCTTCAATTTCTATCTCACTATTTTGTCCTGATGTCTACCTCTACTTTATCTGCTTCACTTTCAGGATCTAGGAGCGATATAAGGATATAACTCGAAATGTCACATTATTTATCAATATTTTCTACTAAGGCTCATATAATTTGGCTGATATTTCGTGAGGCAGAAGATGGCTTAACCCTATTGAGTAATAATGTTACACTGTAAATAAATTTCACCCAAATTTCACTCAATTTTAGTCAATAATGTACCAATTTCGGTCCACACCGGATTTAGTGAAATTGTCACTCTGTTAGTGTAACTATTGCAACAGAAGTGAGTGAATTTTACTCAAATCCGAGTAACTACCAAGTGAGTGACTTTTGGACTCTATTCTAAATTTTGTACATTTAAAATTTCCAAAGTATATAAAGTAATTTTTTACTCACAATTGGTTTTATATTTTCTTTCAATTTTAATTTAAATATCATTTTATTGAAGTCATAAACTACTAAGCAGCCACAATGGTTTCTACACAGATCTGTTTTAGAGACAATATATTAGGTTTCGATTAAAGGAATTGGTTAGTTGATCGGAAGAATAGATTGCCATAACCTTTCTTGTACGTTATAGATACGTAAGTAAGAATAGGTAACAATTTAACTATCCGTTTATTAACCAAGTATTAATCGAGACTCAGTATATTACTGTGTTTAGTTATTGTAATCAAATTCCTGTATTTAAACATAATTTACACCAAAATAACCGTATTAACGGACACTTGTCCAGCACTACACGCCATACACCACGCCACGAGATGACCCAATGGGGACGATGGGAATAAACAAAGACAACGCACGACAACCATAAAATGCGGTGGGGGCACTCAATAATGAGGACATTTACTCCAATTTATCTACAAGTGTACCAAATACGAGTTTATCTGCAGAACTTACTTAACGGATACTTATATTTGAGTTAAAATACTTAGTTTCAGTTCAAATATTGTTACAAATGAGTAAATTTATCGAAATATTCAATTCTGAGTGAAAATGTACTCAATAATTCCACTAAATGAATTCACTTCGTACCTTTATTGCTTTCACTAATTTTTTTACAATGTACTGCTTCCATCAATTTGATATTATTCGAGTTTTAAATGTAACAATTTCAACGGCTAAGTTCTCGTTTACCCGTGTTGAGTTGTAAACAGTATTCCTGCCGTGCGACATATCACTGAAGAGAGGACATTACTATCGATGACTTAGCAAGGTCAACAGTCTCAAAAGACAAATACCCGGCCAAATATAGATAGCATTTTCGGAGAGCTTGAATATAAAAATGAAATATTAGGTAATGCGACTTACGCGTCTCAGCAGTGGAGACAGTTACCTGCAGTAAATCAGCAGAATGCGCCGAAACAAGTTTATCAACGATCCCGATTAGAACGTATTTAAAATCCATAAAGTCCCTAACGGAGCGCCATTAAAAATGCTCCACACGTCCCCAAATAAATAAATACACCATTAGATTCGAATACGGCAGATAACGCAGTTGTCGATACATTAAAACCGAACATTCTGTGCAGCGGCGCTACGCGAGCCAAAAGCGCGACGAAAGTTTGAGGAATGGAAGAATAGTCTGATGGTCGGTTGGAATTAAGGCAGGCCCAACGCTACATGTTCTTGTATAAATTTGTATCAGGTTGTGTATTAGATTCGTCCAGATTAAAACGTAGTTAAGTCTCGGCCCACTCGCTAGTCACAACAACATTTATTTCAGTGAGACCGGATCAACGACTGCAAGAACAATATTTCGTGCATAAATTATCAAACTAATTAGCCATCGAACACATCGGGCGCTATCAAACATGCCTATAAAAATAAATCGTAGCAATAATTATTAATGCCTAAGGATAAGGATAAGGAGTTATTGATAGATCCTGTCCAAATACAATGTCTTAAATATTCCATTAATTTTTATGGCTCGGATAGCCAGCATTTTAAAATTAAAAGGTTGTAAAAATCGAAACGTTTTATACGGCTGTTATTAGCAGCTTTTTTATTTCCGTTCCTGTACAGCCAGTTATAAAAAGCATATTTTATAATGTGTATTAACACTAATTTTAAAAATAGCCACTATCGCATGTATAAATATGCATTCCAATTTTTTAATCGATTCCAAGCATCGCCAGTTTTGTATTATTTATCGCCACTGTTGCAGATACAAGCATAACTTTTGAAAAAAAAGCGCACACCAATTAAATTACAGTCAAAAGTAATGCAAGTTACTACAAAACAAATATTTATTTAATTGTAAAAATAGCGATGTCGCCATAAAAGGACCCCGCACAAGTCTCATAGAAATGGATCCCGGTGGATCTCTCTCAAATTTTGGGAATGCATTTGTCCTGATCAAAAGTTTTCATGGGCAGAAAACCCGGAAACCGCTCCCAACCCTCCAAAATCACCCCCAAAGGTCAGGAGATGCATTCGGCTCAATATACCACATCACCAAAAACAGTATCAGACCCACACATGCAATATAATATGGTTTCCGGTGCATTTTTGAGCGTTGGACACAAATACGTCATCATTTTTGCTTTAGCACATATCAGTCTTCAGCAAATCGCTGAAGAAGCTTCAGAAAACTGAAGATAGACCACCATGGTTCTTCAGCGTTTTACTGAAAACGGAAGAATCAACTCTAAATGCGGATTCATATCAAAAATGTTACCCATTTTCTGCGTTACCCAGTACCAACGGCGTGGACGTAATGAGTTTCTGGTTCTTATGTCTGTATCTGCGTCTGCATCTGTCTGTGTCTACGTCTGTCTGAGTTTGCGTCTATCTGTGTCTGCGTCTGCCTGCGTCTGTCTGAGTCTGTGACTGTGTCTACATCTGTCTGAGTCTGCGTCTATCTGCGTTTGCATCTGCCTGCGTCTGTCTGAATCTGCATCTGTCTGTGTGTACGTCTGTCTGAGTCTGCGTCTGTCTGAGTCTGCATCTATCTGTGTCTACGTCTGTCTGAGTCTGCTTCTGTCTATCTGTATCTGTTTATATCTGACTGTGATTTTTTTGTGTATTTCTTGCCATTTTTAATTCTTTCATATATTTAATTTTTAATCAAACTTATCGTGAATTATTTATCACTTCAAACAATACTGTACTAGGATATTTAATATGAGGTTGATGCCCAGCATATCCCGTGTATCACAAGACACATGCTACATGGCAGCAACTTCCCAATGTTCTTGCACCAGATTGACATGTGCAGTAATATCCAATAATAGGTTCCTCGTCTTCTTCGATAGTTTCTTCTAGCTCAGCGTGCAAAATACACCGGAAACCACCTATCGCATGTGAATCACAGGCCACAATGTTCTTTCTTCAGTTTTATGACGCTTCTTCAGCGATTTGCTAAAGACTGATACATGCTAGAGCAAAAATGATGACATATTTATGTCCAGCGCAACCATATATTGCATGTGTGGGTCTGATACTTTTTTTGATGGTGTGGTATAATGAGCCAAATGCATCCCCTGACCTTTGGGGGTGATTTTGGGAGGTTGGGAGCGGTTTCCGGGTTTTGTGCACATGAGAACTTTTGATCAGGATGCTCTGAAGAGTTCATTCCCAAAATTTGAGAGAGATCCAGAGGAGATCCATTTCCATAAGGCTTGTGCGGGGTCCTTTAGGTTGTTTCACATTTTTCTGCCATTAGTATCTGTCATAGTAGCTGTGTGTCGGTTGTTGGTGGGTATGTATGTGGATGATTAGGGGGGGTGTCTCATTTCTCCATTCCACTACATAATTATGCTGAAAATAAACATATCTAACGCACGTTATTGCTTGCGCGTTATTGAATTTACGTACATGTATAACCGGCTTAACATTTATAATTTTAATTTAATTATAAACGGCATGTTTCTCTTTTATTTAACCACCTTTCCGTTGTTTCAGGGGGAGCCGGAGGACTGCTTCTAGACACCGGCTCGGGCCCATCCTTCCTGCCGCTGCCGGCGCCCGTCCTGGAACAGGTGGCGGCGGGAAACTCGGAACCCGGCGTCACCACCCTCAAGTTGCCGGACTCCTTCCAGCGTCCCCCGGACCTGCCGGCGCGGGACGTCGACGTGGAGGTGTGTTTCGTATGCAAGAAGTGCCGTCTGGCCTTCCCCGGGGAATCCCCGCTATTGACCCACCAACGCCACTGCTACGGCGGCAACCAGGAGTGTCGCGGCGCCTTCCGAATAGTACAAACGGGCTACGAGTGTAAATCTTGCGGCGGCGAGCGCTTCAAGACCCTCATGGAGCTGAAGAAGCACTGCGAGAGCGAAGCGCACCTCAACCCCGGCACCAACAGCGCCAAGATGGGTTCCCTGCTACCTCCGCCGTCGGAATCGCCCCTGAGCCACGAGATGGAGGACGTGGTGAACCAGATCACGTTGCTGGCGGCCCGCGCTGCTCAGGAGTCACCCCAGCAGGTGATGGACTCCAATTCGAACACCTTCTGTCAGCCCTCCGAGCCCAAGAGGAGATTCCTGACGCCGGCGGACGTGCCCCAGCCTCTGACGAGCGCCGGGCATTAATGGCATGAACGGAAGAGAAAGATAAATAGGAGAGAGCCCCGGAGGACGAGGAGTATCAGTCGCGCTGCTCCGGCTAGCAGAGGAACTCGACGCCGGTTGTCATTCCGAACCCAACCAACTACCTAAACCTAGCGAAAGTCATAAGCAATGATCAAATTATATATTTACAGCTGATGTACTATATATTTTTAAAGGTTATCATGTTATGTTATTGTAGATGTGTCAGTGTAGTTGTGTATATGTTGTATAGTTGATTAGGTCTGATGATTCCTATTGCAACGTATAGTTACTAACTAATAAGTTGAGGGCTTCTGCTGGCGGTCTCCGGCTAAGACGGCGCTCTGGACAGCGGCCTCGGCCAAGTTCCTGACGACTTTCTGTGTATATCAAACTGCGACATAAAATGTTCCTATCGAGATGTAGATACTGCATGCGGTACCCGCGAGGGTCCACCAGGGCCTACCGGCCCAGTAAAACAAGTTCCTATCGGCCGGGCTCGACAGTTCCTCAAAACGACTCGCACCGAGCCCGGTCGCTTTTTTATTCATTATTATTAAATTATTACAAAAACTTTTATTATTATTACACTAATTATTAAAGTTGATAAGGCAAATGCTGTATTTATCATATATATGTATATGTAACTGAATATATCAGCTGGTGAGAGTGAACGGACGAATGCGGCTTCATCACGAGCGACAGAATCCACCTCTGGCCAGCAGTAAAAAAATTGGTTCCTACTAATAATAATCGATACGGTGTTTTAAGTAATAATATAGTTATTATGTTTTAACGTTGGTTTTCACCGGCATTGTACGTATATATAGTAGTAGATATATATTTAAAATTTTAAATATATTAGGTTTACGTATCCAAAATAACTCAAAAATGGGGAATACTTCGGTATGACCTGCCTCGCATACTAGTGAGTTTCTTTGGAACTAAGTGTGATTGTTGATATAGCGCGACGCGCCCGGCGTCCCCCGGCGTGCCCGCTCTCCCCGACACCTTCCCCTTCCCCACGCCCCGATCCTACGGCGGCGGACGTCGCGGCGCGACTTTGTCGCAACCTAGCAATGCTAAGTGAATGTGACACCTTCTGACGTATTACACGATTATTATTACTATTCATATTATATTATTATTGATACATTATTATTGCTACGTTTAGAGCAGTCTGTGTGTATTTATTGTTTGAATACTGCTGGACCTCAGCGTCCGTATCGTGGTTCCTACTATATAATTCATATCGCAATTTATTGAGGTGAAAGACAGCATAAAACTGTTGAACTTTTATACGTTTGTTTTCGATTTCATTTTACTTTTATATACCTCAAAAAACTACTAACAAACATTGGCGGAAAGTATCTAGTATCTCTACCAAGCTCTCTACTTACTATTAGACAATACTCATTTACCTGTCTGATATTAACGTTGACCTGTCACTACTAATACTTACTATTTTGTCTCTCATTCATACACCGCTCCCGACCAAAAGGAAAGGCATCGTCGACGAGACGAGTCTCGCGCATCCCCATTTGTTATGGTACTTTGTTCCTAAAAATTAAAACTAATATTTATAGAAGGTGCGTATGATGTCTTTTCTTTTGTGTTCCGAGTCCAATCTGTTTTTCTCCGCCTATTTTTACAAAGATGTGGCTTAACGGTTCCCTTTTACTAACACTCCCTGCTTTGCTTGCATATTTTTTCTTTCCATTGCGACCATTTTTCCAATGTGAGTTAAATGTTCCATTTGTATGCTATTAAAATACTGAAAAAGTTAAATTAATTTTTGAATTTAATAAATATTAAGGTACAAGGAGGTGTACTGGTAAGGGTAGACCCAAAAAAATTTAACTCACATTGGAGATGCACCTTACTGTTTGATCTTTGCATTTTTGTTGTTTTTTCCTCTTGAAGTAGAACAATGAATTTGCGAATCACTAGCCCTTTCAGTTGTTTATGAATTTGTTTTACTGGTCCTATTTTTGCACGATTTTTGTACATATGTATTTTATTGTATTGTTGTTTGGTGCCCATTTTCTTTGGACCCTCTTTTTGTTATATTTTGTGCACATTGTTTTCGTTCAGCGTGCAGACATCTCGCCATTTCTTGATCGGCAACTGTTTCATTGTTGTTTATAGTTTTAATAGGCCGATATCCGTGTATAGCCAGTAATATTTAATTTAATAGAAGGAGCATATTTTAGCGAACATCTTTGTAAATATATCGAGAGGAAAACTTAGTATCTAAGTGTTGAATACATTTGTATAAATTATTTTTATTTGGCATTTATTTTTCGAGATGTTTATATGTTTTTTGCCGCGCAAGACTTGACAAAACAGTGATTTTAGGTTAAGTTTTACATAACTTTGAATGCATAGGTAATTTATTTTTTGTGATGTAAATATTTTTATTTAAGTTTAAGTATAATGAAAAAATAGACTGTATGTTTGAGAGAGTGTACGCATTTAAAGCGGGTCTGCCGTCTTGCTATTTTGCTGCTACCGACTAAAATACTTTGTTTTTACGTTAGCCTACCACAATTTTCTTACATTTTCTACAGTTGAAAACGGAATATTCAAACTTTGAGTTGATAGTCTCACGTTAAAGCAATCAGGAGAATTATGGTTCCGTTATTTTTCCAGAAAAAAAATCAGATGATGAATATTAATAATAATAATTACTAGGTAAATGTTTGTATCCTACGGCTTCAGCCGCTCTCAATTGTGAGTGTATATGAAAGTCAAATAAACTAAATAGTTTATCATAACCCCGTGTATTTTTCATATCACTTACCTACCCTACTTACTATTCTCCTTAACTGTACTTAATACCCCGCAATAAAAAGGTTAATGGATTTCATTTTCCCGCTTGCATAATGATACCACCTTTTATAATGTATTTACCTTGGAATCGAAATTATTAATATTGATCTTTCGGATTCGAATTTACATAAAACCGAATAATTATTGAAGCGAGGCATACCACGAGGAAATTTATTATCCGATAAAATGTAATTATTTGAATCAATATGATTGGATTAGTTATTATCATGAAATATATTAGACGATACTAGAAAGTCGCCGATAAATCATCCCTTCCCTTTCCACGTGATAATAAAGATTAACTATCAGATCCGGACTGTTCCGTGGTGTTAAGGCTCGCCGATTTATAAGAAATTAAGGTAAGTATACGAGAAACAATGTTAATAACTGTGATTATACTTTCATTGCTGGTTTTTAAAAAGTGAAGGATTAATATCGACATTAATAACGATTACGGGTTGCTCCGGGCAGAACAATCTTATGGCAAAATGATCTATTAAATTCAAATTCTGTCGTGTAATTACGCTTCATAAAAAAGAATTAAGCCGCCAGCCTTCGATGCGCCCAACTAAAACTATATTAATAATTACGAAGAATTCTTTTAACAAACCCAGCACCATTGTGGGTCTAAGCATTTTTATGAATAATTATTTGTCTAACATGTTCGAGTGATTAAACTGTCAGTTCGAAGTCAGAAAGGTGTTTACAGACAAAACAGTGCTTATTTTTATGTATCTTTCTAATTGATAGTTGGCATCATTTAGGTCGTCGCTATTGTAAATTATAAAGGCGGTTTTGTCTTCACGACCCTGTATTATTCTATCGATTAATCAAAGTGTCACTATCGACCCACAAATTCAGGTGCTAGTTTTCCTAATTACCGGCATTAAATATAAACACGTAGATATATAAAGAATGCATATCACTCTAGTGAGGTTAGCACAATTGATCATTGCTTTAGCACTGGTCTAATTGGCACTTTTCATATTTTACTCAAAATTATACATATTTTACAAAACGGCGACAGTTTCTTAGTCCAGCGAAATATATTATTAATGGGTATAGTGTACAGAATGTTCAAACGATCTAAGAATTTATAAAACGTAGGATATTATAAAAAAAACTTCTTTGGAATATTTGTCTCTTGTCTAGAACTTTTGGATTTCGATATTTTTTCTACACTCACTCTTACAAAATCAGTTCTCTCCAAAATCGTCAACATTTTTGTATATTGACATTGTTGATAGTTGAAATACAGGGTGGTTCCGAGGTAATGGGCCAAAATTCATAGGTAAAGTCCCTAAGTAAAAATATTGACATTTAGCCGAAGTTACCTTAGTCCAAAAGTTGATAGTTAAACGAACACAGGGTGTTAAATGTAAAATATTATTTCAGTTTTTTCAAATTTATTCCTTAACAAATGCAAATATCCCCACAAAATTTTGGGGATTGGAGTTCTATGAGTAGAGGAATTGAAATCTGTTCACATTTTGGTTAAAGTTCATAGAGGGCGCTAGCTGCAGTAGATTGAATGTGGTAAAAACGACATAACTTTTTTGTACTTTAAAGTATCTCATCTTTGGTAACAAATTCTTATTTTTCAACTTTTTTTACACAAAAAAGGTAAACTTTATTAAAGTAGCTATCTCGCACCGTTTTCTAGATATTTGACTTTGAAACTTTCAATGCTGTTGCATTAAATTACAATTAAGTACCTACAAGTATTATTAATTTAGCGATAAAGTTTCTTAAGTTGGATTTGGACGAAAATCAAATAATTGATCTCTTCCACATGTTTTATTGCTGTCATTTGTATGCTAATTTCTATTAAATATTATTCGTATCTAATTAAAATTACATTACAATACAAATTAAATTGTATACTCGTATACATAAATCTGAGATAGAATGCCGATGTTGTCGTTTTTGGAGTTACATGAAATCAGTTGTTTATGGAGAAACTATAAACACTTGAGAAGAACTTTAGTAGCAGGTTTTAAATGCTGCAAAGTCATTTCGCATTAAGGATTTATACTTTAAAATAAGACAATCTTTTAATAAACGTGTTGATAAATGTATTGAAGTTAGAGGACATTTTGTGCAATTATTGTCAAAAGGCATATTTTTTACTAATGTTTACCATTTAACTGCGCATTACAATTTTTAATTCTAAATAAACCATTGTTTTTGACATTTCTAAATTATTTTAATTATTTCAACTATTAGCATTGGAAGTTTCAAAGCCAAATATCTTGGAAAGGGTGCGAGACAG